AGCCCAAGGCCACCAGGACCCGGACGGCGAGCCGCGTTTCGTGCGGCCAGCAGGTGGCGCTCGTCCTCCACGGCGCGACGGCCAAGGGGCGCTGGGTGGGAAAAGTCCCCCGAAAGGTGCCGCTGCCACCGATCGCTGTCCACGCCTTGCAGCGGCGCCCGGCGCCCAGCGAACCGCGCAAGGTGCTCCAAGGGCCCTGCCTGGGACTGCACGGATTCCGACCGGAGAAAGACCCGCTCGGCCATCGAGGGGCAGATGACGCGGGTCATCGAGGTTGGAGTCCAGGGAAGGACTGTCAGGAGTGGGGCAGCGACCTGTCCTCGCTCCTCCCGCCCTCCCCCGCTGCCGCCCAGTGTGCAGGGGCAATGGCCAGTGACAGGTGGCAGGACTACAGTGACTGGTTTGAAAAACGGCCCAGGCCGGTCTCCTGCCCAGGTGCTTCTGTGTGTGTGTGTGGGGGGGCGTGATTATCAACAGCCATGGCGGTTCTGGGGTCCTGGGGAGGGATCGGAGCCCTGGTGGCCGGTGGGCCTGGGACCGGTGATGTCCCCGGTGAGTGGTGTGGGGGCCACGGGGGCTTGGCAGGAGCGAGGCCGCCCCTCCCCCACCCGGGCGATGGACTTGGTGTCAGGGGAGAGGAAATGCACAGCTGCCAGGCAGACTCTGAGGCGCCTCCCAAACACCTGCTGGGTGGAGAAAGTGGCTCCAGGTGAGCTGCGTACACCCGTGCCCACCCTTTCCTTCCGTGTTCTTGTCCTTCTAGAACCACTCCCCCCCCAAGCTGCTTCCAACTGAGGAATGCAAAGAAATGCTGCACACTTCAGTCCTATATGCCCATGTTTTAAAAAATGCTGCCACATGAGGCTTGGGTGGAAATAGCCGTGACACTTCTTTTTGGAGACCAGCTAGGCTTTCTCCTCCCTCTCCCCGTTTTCCTTACAGTCCAGTGGCAGTCAAAAGTGATGGGCTACTTAATAGTCACCAGTAGCCAGCCCAGCCCTGTCTCTGGAGGTCTGGGTGAGCTACAGGTGAAGAGAGGTGACTAAGAAGGCTGCAGAGGTTCAGTCAGGTTACAGCTTAATTCCTGTGAGTCACCAATACTGACACCCAGGCCGTTAGCCCTTCTAAATCACAATCATGTTCCAAATTCTGCAGAGCCAGTTGTCACTTCTGCTGAACAAGCAGTTTCATTTATTCCAAAGGTGTCCTCCCAGACTCCACATGGACTTCGTGACCTAACTCCTAGGAGTCACGCCCACAACTCATTCTGTTTTGAACCCTGCCCCAAGGCACAGAACTGAGTGGTTCCTTGAGGGCTCACAGAAGACTCTGGGTGTACAGGTTTCCCAGTCTAGGTCAGCTCTCCTGAACAGGAAAAACCCTTTGCCCCACAGGAATGACATGGAGCAGAGTCCAAGGTTTAGAGGGCTGGGGGGGCGGTGGAAGGTGGGGACAGAGTGTGGATGGCAGAAGGGGTGAGGTAAAATGATGAGACAGAGAGAGAAAAGGAGAGAACCCACCTCAGACTCAGAGTGAGCAAAGATCTTAAAAATCATGCGGAATTCAGTTATTGACTTCAGGCATGTTTTATTATAATCTTAACACAGTCTACATAAATTTGAACTTGTTTTTATTTGGGTCGTTATAACATAGCATAATAATAAAAACCAAAGCACTGGTCCTCTGAAATAAAGCAGGCATCACCATTCAATGAACGCACTTGATTTATTTTGTATAAAAGGGTTAAGTTTACAACTAAACTTTTATAAAAAGTTTAGCAGGAATAAGTACATCATTACATTTTTATGCAGAAATAACCATCTCTGCCACTATACAAGAAAACTCTAATTAAAGAGTTCACAAGGTTTCACTCAATATATATATTTATATATAAATATATACACAGCATTCAGTAGGCTTGTGTCAAAAGGTAATTTTTGACCAAAAAGACTTCATTTAAGTGACTGAATACTGAATCCTTCCGGTAGTCACGCTCCACCTTTGAAAAAAAAGGCAAAGTCTGCTTGATTGGGCAATTCCTTGTGATTTGAACGTTTCGCTCCCCATGGTGGGAATAGTATAAAGAAACCTTCCAACTGCAGAAAGGGCATTTAAAAGTCTTTTTCATAAATAACGAATATCACAGTCCAGGTCAGAGAACACCCTGGGAAGACGATCATTCTTAGTTTTCCTTTCATTTGTTTTTTCTTTTAAAAGGTCCATTCAACTTGTTCTCCTGGTGAAATGGTTGAAAAAAAAAGTTCAGCGTCTTAAAATATCCTGTGGATTTGTTGTTGTGCAAAAAGAAAAGAAAAAAAAAAGGAAAAAAAAAAAAGTCCTGAACACCTGCAAAAGATTGGTAGAGAAAGGCACGCTTAGGAGAATGTAACCCAAGGGGAGGCGGGCAGACGGGCGCCGAGGAAACCACAGTTTGAACATTTAACCAAACACTGGGAGATTGGGCAAACCCTGGCGTCCAGACGCAGCCTATACACCCGGCCTCAACAGCGCAAATTAAACATGAAAATAGCAGGGACTCCAGGGAAAAACCTCCCAGCCCAATCTCCTATTTGGATCTCCAAAGACAGCGCTCACAGGCGCCAGTCTGCTGCTTGTAACAATTATTTGATTGAAAACAGCCCTTTAGTTAACAGATAGGGAAGTCTGGGATCCCGCAGCACAGGGGCTGAGCACAGGGTAGCAGCCTCAGCCAGCAGACTCCCAGAAGACTGCAGTCCTAAGAAAGGAGGATGTATGGAATCTGTGGCGGTAAATTAATTACAGCGGAGGTTAGTACCTCATAGCACCAGAGGAATAGAGTGATCAGGGCATCACACTGGCTACAAAAGCCAACGCACACGTTTTTTTCTGCCACCTTTCATAGTAAGTCACTGGCATCATTTTCCCCCCTCTGTGATCTTGAGGAACCACAACTACAAACCTTTTCATGTCTGCTGGGACAAGCAGTATGTGCCTAACACAGCGAAGTAAGCATGCACTCACTCAATCAGACATTTTACACACATGTAACCTCGCACAAGCAAATTACAGAAACGCACGCGCACCCAGAAAGAGGCACAAGCAAACACTCACCATGTTTTCAGCCACAGAGTGCTTTGCTGTCATTTGATATTAACTCGGAAGGGAATTCAGAAGCCTGGAAAGGAAGAGGATAAAAGCACGATGTTAGACAACCTGATTGGCCTCTTTTTTATTAAAGTACTCCACAGATCTCTAGTCCCGTTAGACAAACACGTTGATGCTACAATTGAGACTCAAATGCATGGACACAGCAGAACTTACTAGCAATTTCACGCACGGCTCAATCTACAGCAGATTTTTTTTTTTTAAGAAAATAAAGTTAATTAGCTCACGTGTAAGTCGCCATCTCGACAATGGCTCTACTAGTGACAGTCCAGGCAGTCGCAGGAGCGGGACACTAGGAGCAGGGCTTACCTGCAAGGACAGGATGCTGATGTCCGTGTTTAGGGTGGTCAGCGGCGTCCTGGACGCCTGGTTCTGCCCGGGTCTCGGGTGGTGAAGGCTGACAATAGTGGGGTGCGAGTCCAGGGCGATCTGCAGGTCCAAGATGTAGTCGATGACGTGCTGCAGGATTTCCATCTTGCTCACCTTCTTGTTCTGGGGGATGCTGGGCACCAGCTCCTTGAGCTTGGAGTAGCAGTCGTTCATGTTGTACAGCAGGCTCATCGGGTCATCCACTGGGGTCTTGCTCCGGGAGATGCCCAGGCTGTGGTCCGACAGGCTGTTTTTCCTAACGGACCTCACCGGACTGAAGGCTTTCATGCTGGCCGCGGTGGAAGGAGAGACGAGAAGGGAGAGAGCTGCCCTGGCGCTCAAGCCGCCTCCTCCTACTGAGCGAAGCGCGCTCAGCACCGGGCTCGGCTCAGAATGAAGCGCGAGTCTGGCTGGGCGGCTTTTATCCCCACTCGCCGGGGCCACACGAGTTGGCTTTCCTTCGTCTCTATTGGTGGAACGTGGCACGTCCATCAGACCAAGCGGACGCTCCCATTGGCGAACGCCGGCGCGGGGCGAGCGCTCGGCCCTTCCGTGTTCGCAGCCAATCCGGGCGGAGTGGGCGGGGCGGGCGCCAGCCCAGCTGGGGTGGTAAATAGAGTACAGTACGCGCGGCGCGGGAGGGGCGGGGGGAGGCTCAGGGAGTCGAAATGTGCAGCCCTAATTCTGGCTGCAAAGGGCGGGCAGGACCCTCGTCTGGGGCGGGGGGGTGCGCGTCCAGCCGCGCCAAAGTCATAGCGTCGGGGGCGAGTTCAACACTGCACAGGAAAAGTCACAGTTCCCTGCAGCCCGCAGGGTATCGTCAGGAAAGAGCATTTCCAGAAGGGAACACACAGATAAGTTTGCCACCGGGAAGTCACGTTGGTAAAGTGAGTCCCCTCTTTTAAGATGAAGAAAAATCATATTAAAAAGAAATACCCGTCCACGCAAGCATTCAAGGACAGGTTAGTGGGACTTTAGGACGCGGGAGGCTTATTGGAGACTCGGTGACAGGAGTGCTTCCCGGCCGCCGAGGAGCCCCGGGGGCCATGGCACTTTCAGGGTTCCTTTTCAAGAACCCGGCAGGACCATTATAATGAGCCTATTAATCGGAAACCATTGAGGGGATTTGCATATTGAAACGACATTTACATACCCTGCCCTTGAAAGGCTGCAGGTCTGTGCCCTCCAGTGTAGGTGGCAAAGTAACGTGATTAATGCCGCACAGGTCGTGATTTCTGGTGTCACATCCCGCACCTACAGTAGTTCTGCAGCTCTGTGACAGGTAGGTGGCCTTAGCTACTGACAGCTTAACGCGATCTTAAAAGAAAATTCGGTTATGTCTGAGCTTTGAAAGCTTTTCAGCATTGGTGCTAGCTGCAGCTTCTGGCTTGGGTTGTTTGGCTGGAAATCCTTAAGAACTCCATCCGTCTAAATAATAAAGTCTGCAGTTATCGACTCAAATACTGTAATTCTCACATCATTGTAGCCCAACTGCAACCCACCGTGTATTCGCTGTGTGTTTGGGGGGAAAAAATTCCTACTTTTGTAGACAATAAACTAGAAGACCTCAGAGAACAGAATCTAGGGGACTTTTTGTTTCCATCTCCTCCTCCTCTGCGTTTAGGAGGAAGGAGGCAGAACTGGAGACCGAGCAAGGCTCAGCAATGGGGAAAACAATATTTTCCCTTCAATTAATGATTAATTCCTCAGCTGGTGGGCCCGTGCTCTCTGACCTCCACGTGACAGCCATGTGCCCCAGGGCTCTTCTCTCTGGAGAGGCAGAGTTGGTGGCGCCGAGGTGGGGGCGTCACTTCCATAAAATCCAGCCACCGCAGTTTAGAGGCTGTTTCCTACCCAGACATGAAACGTGCCCAGTGCCTGCCCAAGGCCCTGCAGTGCCGCCTGCCACACGGTGCCTGGCAGCGTTTGCTTAACGACCGTCGCCTCTGATATTAAACCTGGAAGCGATTTACTATCCGAGGCCCCCCCCACTTCGAGTCTTTCGATGTACTTTGTGTGCATGTGTTTCTGTCACATACGTGCCACGGCGGAACAGATTTTGTTTTGACACTATTTTGGTTCATGATGTTAGACTCTGACTATTTTACAATAATAGCCAATGTAAACAAACATCCTTAGGATTCTCAAATTATTACTTAGGATTCTTGGACATTGCAGCTCTGCGGTACTGACGCACTCCTGGCTTTTTCCAAGGACACCGTATGTTAGCACCGTGCCAGCCTCGTTATCCCCACCAGAGGCCTGGGCTGGACGGCCATGTGTCGGTGCAGCGTTGCTGCGCCATGGGCAGCGCCTTCCCCCGTCATTCTTGTATCCTGATGTAGTAAAATTGCTAAATATGGTGAAAGTTTTCTGGTGTTCCTTTCTTCAGCTGCCATGCCCAGTCCTGGGTTGAATCCGGTTCCATTGACACGCCAGCCACTTTTACATTCATTTGGAGATCATTTTAAGGGGATTACAAGCTGTGTGAGTTAATGATTGAATAAAGGCCCGAGGAGTTACTAGCATGACTGTCTCAGGAAGACCAAGACAAAAGAAAAAAAATCACCTTTAAAATTATAGTTTCGTGGGGGGAAATAGGGTTGGAGCAGTTCGGGGGTGGCTTAAAAAGACATTTGAAACTCCGCCACTGGTGTCTGATGCCTTTGAGGGCTCTGAAGTTCAAATGGCCCCAGCTGCAGGAAGAGCTGAATCCGTGGGTGGTGGGAAGGTGTGAAGGGCTTCCGGCTGGGGGGAGGTGGGGTGCAAATACTGGCGGCCCTGGCTTACCCACGGGGACACCCCACATTTAAAGCAACAGACCTGCTCTGGAGGCTCCCTGAGCCCGGGTCCTGGGCTTGCTCCCTCATTCCGCCTCTTTTCCAAGCCTGGCCGGCGCCCCCACCGCATCAGGCCGCTGGCGATAATCAGAAGCAGCTCCGGGCCGGCCGCCTTGGCCATCGTTCCCGCGTCATGCCACGGGGGGCGGAGGAGCCGGCGCGGCGGGGGCCTCAAGGTCCTCCCTGCACATCTGGCGCAATTGGGCGCGCTCGCCTTTCTTCCCCCGCCCCCTCCTCCAGTTTTGTTCTCACAGCTGTGTCCATTCCGCCCGTGACCCCCCGAGTGATCCCTGACAGGTGATGAATTGGCAGCCGCGGTGGCGGCGGCGGCGAGCGGGCCAGGCCGCGGCGGGGCCGGAGCCGGAGCCCCGGAGCAGACTCTCTGGCGCCAGGCGCGTGACGCCGCCCATTCACGCCGCCCTGCAGCCTTGTCCTCGCGGCGCCGCTCAGGCGGCTGCCATGGCAACCGCGCCGTCACTCAGCGCGCGCGCCCAGCTGATCAATGCCTGCAAGGCCCGGCGGTCCCAGGCTAGCCCCGGCCCGGCCGCCGCCCGCGCACCTGCAGCCTCTGCACGTCTTAAGTTTCCAGCGATTTGGGGAAAGGAAGGAGGGCGGAGAAGAAAAGGAGGAAAAAAACAAAAAACAAAAAACGGTGGAGGGGAGGACGAGGCAAAAAGCCGGGAGAGGGAGAAGAAAGGAATCTCCCTTTTGTAAAAGGAGGCGTAATGTGGCGTAGAGGTTGCCAAAGCAAAAGGTTTTGCTTTATTTCATTTGTTTTTGCAACGGAGGCGTCTAGGGTGGGGCTGGCGCGAGCGAAGGGTGGAGAGGGAGAAGGTCACTGTCTCATCGCTGGGCAAAATTTATTTATTCCTTTTGGATCTTCTGGGTCCTCGCTGGAATGGCTTTGATCCCGGGCTCCTAAAAATACTTTTGAAGGACCCCCTTCTCTCTCCAACCTACCCCCCCTCCTCCCCGCCACTGTCCTACTGCCTTCCTCTTTGGAGCCCTTGGAGCCTGCGCAAGAAATAAGAAAAAAAAAAAAATTATCCAGAAAAGCTCCCCCTCTTCCCTGCCCCGGGGAGGCGGGAGGATGTGCAGCCCGGGTCCCGCGGCTCCCCGGAGCCTTAGCGCGCAGAGCGCAGCCCGCATTTGCGTCCCTATAACCACTACAAAGCGGGGCCACACGAGCCGCTTTAATAACGCTGCACTGTGGACTGAAACTTCCAAGTCAGCCTGCGGACGGACGCAGACGCCTCCTCGGTCCGGCTTTATCTCCAGGGAACGTTCCATTTTAAGAACCAGATGCCAACATTCCCGGACAGTTTATGGCATCCGGAGCCCTCAAGGGTGCTCATCTGCAGTTTAGTGTTGGTAGCAATTATTTATCGTCTGTCCTGGAGAGGAGTTTCCGAGCATAAACGTCCTCTGCTGGCCCTGAAGCTGCAGGCTGGAGGTGGGGGGAGAGGGAGTTAGGGGGGGTGTGTGGGGTGCACGACTGGCCGGTCCTGTTATCTGGCTTAGCAGAGTTTGTTGTGGTTTTCGAGGAAGTAGCATCTGGATTGCATAAAGACCGGAGTTTTTGCTTTACTTGTTTATTCAATACCTTGGCGAGGGGGAGGCTTACCCTGAAACCAGATAACCGAATTTGGGTTTAAAACGGCCTTTGGTGAGGGGCATCGCGAGGGGAAGAAAATGAGCAAAGCCACGAAAAGCAAACAAGAGGATGTTTACTTTTCTCCTTGGGTATTTTTGAAGACCTCCCTAATCTCTTACGCTTCTTGTCGCGCTCAGCTAATAAATGGCATTAGCAAGGCGCTTCACCTACTCCACTGGCTTAGTGTTAAGTCGCTCCTCCCGCGGCCGGGCCATAATTCCTTCTAGGATTCCCGCGCAGTCTTGTTGGCCCAGAGATCTCTGGGGCCCCAGGTAAAACACCGTGCCAAATCCAATTGCTCGCAACTGTGTGATCCCCCTTTTAGGGGGATCGCTTTTCAGCTGAGTTCAAAGGAAGCAAAGTTTGGGAAGTTTGGCGGAGGGACTGATGTGCCTACCAGCGCCGCAACTATTTTGTTACGAACGGTGTGCCTCCATTTGTGGTCGCGTTTAACTTTCACAAAGGATTTTCCTGTGACTTTTGCACCGGTCACCAAATTAAAAAAGAAAATTAACTCGAGAGATAAGGTTTTGGAAAACAATCTCGGGCCGCCCGCGAGCTGGCGGGAACGGGGCTGGCGTCGCCAAGTCTGCGCCGCCCAGAGGCGCGCGCCTCGGTCCAGCCACCGCGGGGAGCCCGGGTCACCGCGGGGACCGTGGGCCGCAGCCCGCTGTGCGCCCCCGCGAGCGACGGAGCGCAGTGCCCAGGCCACCCGCGTCTGCCCACTGGCGTCCGTGGGAATCCGCAGCAGCCAGCGACAAGGGGGGGCTTGTCAGGAATCAAACTGCATCTTAACATTATAATGTGGCACCAAGAGCAAAACCCGAGGCCCCAGCCTGCGACTCCCTAACAAGAAACACATTGTGCCCCCTCCACCCCCCCCTCCTTCTGGCTCCAGCCACGTTAGCGCAGGCCGCGCGCAGCCGGCCAAGTCCATGACTTCAGTGGGGAGGAACCCGCCCCGC